TGACCACGGTGGAGGTGCCTTTCGGCCATGCCAGCTGTCGCGGCCTGAGGCTCTCTACCTGCCGCAATCATGAAGGACAGTGGTGACTCCAAGGACCAGCAACTCATGGTGAGACCCCCCTTATCAAGCTCCTCCTTGGTCTCCTCCACCAATCCTGGGACATGACAACCTCACACATAATGTCCCCGAAGAGGACAGGCGAGAGATGGTGGTGTGGGACTGTGCAGAACAACTTTGCCCAAGTTCTACAGAACAGGTGGCCAGAAGTTATGGTGGAGCCTCCTGAGGCTGAGAAGTTAGCCCCACTTCCCTTCCTCCAAGCAGAACCTTCTTTGGGCCAAGACTTAGAAGTCAAGACCCAAAAGAGAGCTGAGCGATTGGCTGAGAAGAGAGCTGGGAATCTCTAGTGAACCCAGAGAGCTTAAGACCAGCCAGGTCTTGCTTTAAAGGAGGCTGGAGCCACAATTAGGAAGACAAAAGCCACCTAAACAGGATGAACCAGCACCAAGTCTGGAGTAGCTAGTTAGGGGGCTGTAACCCAGGCTCTGTCCAAATCAGGACACCGGATACTTCAGAGAGATGCCGGAAGCCACTTGGATAGTCCCCAGGGTCTCCCGGCCTGTGATGGATGATAATATGCCAGAGAGGGTAGGGGTAGGTAGAGACCAAAGATAGAGATTCCTGGCTATCTGTGGTGGATGCTGAAGACACAAGGAGAAGCCTTGGTCCTTGGGGACAGCTGGAGACCTCTCTCTCCCAGCCCCTAGCCTTTGATCTGTGGAAATGGTCCTGCAGCAGCAGCAGATGATGGTAGCCAGATGGCAGAGGAATTCTACCACAATGCCCCCCCCCTTGTAGGGAAGCTGCTTCTGCAAAAGGAAGCTTGGACACAGCCCCAAGGGCCAGTCCCAGACTCCGGGGCACCTTCTCTGGCAGCAAAAATGGCTTCTTTGAAAGGGTTTGCTCCAGAATGCTTGCTCATTGTCATTAGGGAAGGGTCCCCCGCCTCCCGGAAGGAGGTCCAGCCAGGAGGTTGATGAGGACAATCTGACAGCTGTGTAGAGGAAATGAACTGAGGACCCTTTGGATCCACTCAGAATCCAGGAGAAGAAAAATCTCCTCACTTGTTCAGCCGAAGAAAACCTCCCTACTCCCTGACTCCGTTCTTTTGGGAGACGTGTGTCCAGGCTGAAGACCCACCATCTCTCTCACTGGCCAGGAAATAAAGAGCAAGGAAACCCTTGATGACACTCTCCTGGGAGTGTTAGGATGCTGTCCCAGGTTGTTAGGATGACAAGAGATCTCTAGACCCCATCCTAATTTCCAAGCCATTCCTGTCATAACCTTTCCCAGCAGCACCTCACTCGCAGATAGGTGGCCCTGGTCCCCAAGGCCCCAGATTTAAGCCCAAGAGAGTGGCAAGTGTTTAATTTGGGCATGTGACTGATGCAGCCTGTGTAGACAGTGTTTCCCCTGGGGCTCCCCGACTCAGCCAGACACCCCATGGACCTGCTGCCCTTTACCTTGGGCGATGTCCTAGACTGACAGCTTTCTTCAGAACCAAGGAGCCAGAAATGGCTGCATGATGAAGAACACAGGGCTTTTGGGGAAGGAATTCAAAGACTTCTCATCCCTTCATCCATGGCCAAGTGTGGTCCTCCTAACCCAGGACTCTCATCTTCCTCCCAGGTTGCACTTAGGGTCCGGCCCATCAGCGTGGCTGAGCTGGAGGAGGGAGCCACCCTCATCGCTCACAAGGTGGATGAGCAGGTACTTGGGGCTGCAACCAGGAGCTGCAGGGTGAAGGCCTGCTCAGATTGCTTGGCACACCTGGCTGGACAGCAAGAGCTCTGTGTCTCACTGCATCTCTGGGTGGGCTACCCACAGCATCGCCAAGCCTTTTTCTTCCAGGAAGGCTTCCTAAATCAGCTCAAGGAAAGTTTAGAGTGTTTGGAGCCTGGGTGGGCCCAGACCATAAAATATATCTTGATGCACGTGGTGTAAACTTTCCCCATCTGATATGCCTGCTGTCCACAAAGCATATATTCAGGTGGTCTGTCAGAAGCCCACCTCTAGAACATGCAAAGTCCTTCACCACTCTGCTCTCCTGGTCCTCATGTCACTATGATGAAGGAGGGCATATGAGCAGATAATTCTTCATAAAGAACCTACAGCATGCTGGCCACTGTGGTAGGAACTAGAAAAGCACTCTGACATGAAAAGTCCTGGCCTCCCTCTGTTGCTGAAGTTACTGTGGGGAGAGGAGAGAAGGCACTGATAGAAAGAATTAAAACAAACTCGCAGCCTAGGAGGGCTAGGAAAAAAGAGCCTGTTGCCAGGAGAGGCATAAGGGGGCACTGGACCTAGGCTGGGGAGATAGCTCGGCAGTTAAAACGCTTGCCTCATGGGCATGGGGAGTTTGGATCCCCAGAACCTACATAAAATGCCACAGAAATGTCCGTGGGTGTGGTGGCAGTCTTGGAAGGCAGGGGCAGGGAACTCAAAGAGTGAGCTAGCTGGCAACAACAGCTGTGTCTGTGGACTTTGGATTTGATTGAGAGACCCTGCCTCAGTGCACGACATGGAAGAGTGATTCAGGAAAAATACAGTGATTTTTAACATCAACTTTAGACCTCCACACCTACACTCATTCAATGCACCCATACCCACGTTCATACAAACATGCATACAAACACACAAGAAAAAAGTAGAAGAGCCGGGCGGTGGTGGTGCACACCTTTAATCCCAGCACTCGGGAGGCAGAGGCAGGCGGATCTCTGTGAGTTCGAGGCCAGTCTGGTCTCCAGAGCGAGTGCCAGGATAGGCTCCAAAGCTACACAGAGAAACCCTGTCTCGAAAAACAAAAAAAACAACAAAACAAACAAACAAACAAAAGTAGAAGAAGAAAGACAAGGAGAGGCGATGATAAACCCAGATACGGTGGCAATGTCTGTAATCCCCATACTCATGAGACTGAGGCAGGAGGATTGGGAATCCCATGCTACCCTGTGCTTCAAATAAGACCCTGTCTTAACTGGAACTGGAGAGGCTTATAAAGAAGACAGCTTGCTGGGCGGTGGTGTTACACACCTTTAGTCCCGCTACTGGGGAGGCAGAAGCAGGTGGAGCTGAGTTTGAGACCAGCCTGGTCTGCAGAGTGAGTTCCAGGACAGCCAGGGCTACATAGTGAGACCCCATCTGGAAAATGATAATGAGAATATCATTATTCTAATGATGATAATGACAATGATGATGGTGATGATCATAAAGAGATCTTTAGGGATGTACTCAAGCGGGGGGATAATTGCAACCAGAGGGACTTACAGTGTGCAAGACCCTTGAGATGGGGCCACAGTGCAACCTTGTCACTGAAAAAAGCTGGCATGGTTCAAGGAGAGGAGTAAGAGGCATGAGGGGAGGTGACATGGGTAGGGCCCAAACCAAACTCTTAGTCAGCACGGCCAAGATGCCTGCTTTGTGCTTGTTTGAGTAGGTACTCCAAGACTCAGATACCAGAGTGGTCCTGGGCAAAATGGTGGGACTAGAATGGGTATGTTGTGTCAGCCTTATGGTGGCCCTAGCCTGTGCTTCAAAGCTGTGTGGGGTGACTCTTAGTGCCAGGCTCACTGGTTGTTCTGTGGGATGGGCTCTGGGGTCGGGGAGCATGGAAGCTGCAGAGCTGAGAAAGGCTGTGGACAGACGCTGCCCCAGGCTGGTCCTTTGGGCTGGACTCAGGAAACCCCAGTGATGTTCTCCTTTGCCCCCTTTCTCAAAACCCTTGGAGGAAATGGAGGTGTCTGGAAGGACCCCATATGGTGAGCAGGAACAGAGAGAATGTATGCAGATGGTATAGGAGCCTCAGCTCTCAGTGGGGAAGACAGACCATTCTCTTCCTTTACAGTGGTTTGTGGTTTTGATGTTATTTGTTTGTTTGAGGCAGGGTCTCGTATAACCCAGACTGGCCTTGAACTTACTACGAAGCCAGAGAAGGTCTGATCTTCCTGACTCTTTCTCCTCAGTGCTAAAATTACAGGTGTGAACCCCCATTCCTGGGTTATGAAATGCTAGGGACTCAACCCAAGGTTCTGTGCATGCTAGGTAAGCGCTCTACAACAAGACTACATTTTTTTCGTTTATTTTTATCCTAGAGTGAGACTAGGGACCAGATACACGCACATCATGGTGCATGTTTAGAGGTCAGGGGACAGTTTGGGGAGCTGGTAATCTTCTCGCACATGTGGCTCCCAACTCAGATCACCAGACTTGGCAGCAAGCAGCTTCACTGGCTGAGCCGTCTTTCTAGGACCCAAAAAAGGGCTTCTTTGGAAGGCTTTACAGTGCCTGTTGCACGGGAAGAGCTCCGTAGATGTCAGTCAGTTCTAGTCAGTAGAGAAGGAGGTCCCCCAGAGCTGCTGTGCTGGCTCTCGGGCCAGCTAGAAGAGGCAAAGCACTTGGGAGAAACCTACTAGACAAGGCCACTCCCTATTCGTCCATCTGCCTCTGAGGATATCAGGTTCACGGGTTGGGACAATGGTGTCTCTCTCTCCGCTGCTCCTGGCTCCAGGCCACCTTGGGGGTTTATCAATATGAAGTGATGGGAACAGTCCCTGTTAAGTACCCACGCCTGTCAGACACTGGCTCCTTCTGTCTAGGAGGACAGAGGGAGGGCCACCCAGCCTGGCTTTAGCCTACCCCAGTGAGCTATACCTCCCACCAGGCCAGAGCCGGGCCAACCCAACAGGCTGTTCCTTTGTCAGCAGAGGCTCTGAGAGCGCTGCCTAAGCATATGGGGACAGGGCTCTCCAACATCTCCCCCTGCACACTCTGCCCAGATCCCCAGTGGCTTCCAAACAGAGCTTGTACAGGAGGGCCTGGCCTAGTCCTCTTACTGCTGCCTGGGAGTGGCTACAACAAAGGCCCAGTTGACAGCCTCCTGTGTAAGCTGTCTCCTGGCACATAGACCCTGGCAACTAGGTGTTTAAGACATGGGGATCCAAAAGCTAACGTGGAGGAGAAACATCATTGCCTCCAGTTCTAGTCAGCCCCCTGGCCCTGCCCCTTCCTCAGAGCCCAGCTGTTCATCTGGCCCAGAAGAAGCCTCTGGCTGTAGTTAGGTCAGTTGTGCCTCTTTTCTTCTCTCTGAAGTCGCAGGGCACAATGGCCGGGCAGTGGGTGAGCTGGTGAGCTAACCCAGGACAGTATGGCAATGGTGATCTGACTGGGCTCATGTAAGTGGTCAGCAGACTGCCCCCTCCAAAGAAGAGGTCAGGTGGGGTGGCTACCTGCTTTCCATTGATCCCTGGGGCTGGAGCTATCATGGTCTCTTGTCCTGGCCCCTCTGAGGAGCTCACCAAGCCAACTCCCTAGGGGCTTGGGTGGTAGGTCCTGCTTCTTGCTTCCTGTCTCTATGAGCTGAGTGGGTTCCTCTGTGGGTGCCATCTCAAAGTAAGGTAATCCAAGGCTATAGCATAGTCCCTCCCAGGAGCTCAGCCAGCCCATTGGCGGTTAGTAGGTGTTTCCATAGCCCACGTGTCAGTGAGCCCTAAGTAGGGAGAGGTGGAGGGGACTCAGTTATTCACCGATTTCAGCCACTGTGAGGGGGTCTAGAGCCTACCTTGGGACTGAGCATATCCTTTTGGGGACATCTGCAGCTTGTTAGACTGAGGCAATGAGGTTTTGTGTGTCAACAGGCAAAGACTCCCTGAGCATCAAGAAGCCAGTGTGAATCCAGGGCTATGTCTTAGTTGGCAGGATGTTTGTCTAACAGGCACAAAGCTGTAGATTCAATCCCCATCACCACAGAAACCTGACATGGTGGCACACCCGACCCCTAACACTTAAGAGGTAGAGGCTGGAGTTTATGGTCACCCTTGGCTACATAACAAGTGTGAGACCAGCATGGGCTACCTGATGAAACACTGTCTCATTGAAAATTAAAACGAGGGGCTGGAGACATGGCTCAGAGGTTAAGGGCACTGGTTGCTCTTCCAGAGGTCCTGAGTTCAATTCCCAGCAACTACATGGTGGCTCACAACCATCTGTAATGAGATCTGGTGCCCTCCTCTGGCCTGCAGGCAGACCACTGTATACACAATAAATAAACAAATCTTTAAAAAAGTAAAATGAAAGAAAGATAGACACAGGAAAAGGAAAGAAGAGAGGAAGGAAGGAAGGAAGGAAGGAAGGAAGGAAGGAAGGAAGGAAGGAAGGAAGACAGGCAGTCTGAATTCAGTGTGTCTGAATTCTGGGAAATTCAGACAGTGTGTCTGAATTCTGGGAAAGTTGAAGTGAGTCTTGGATTTGTCAGGGGCTAGTTGCAGTGTCTTCACAGGCCTGAGATCACAGAGCCCTAGTTCAGTCCAGGACAGTGATCTTCATGTCTCTGTTAGAAGAGACATCTGGCCTGAGGAAGGGGACATCAGAGTTACTTCTCCCAAAGTCACTGTTGGGTGGCTTCTGGCCACAGGGTTGAGTAATCCCCTGCCTGCACAATGTCCACTGTCTATACAAGAGCTCTCTGCGGTCCCCTGTGGCTGCCTCCTGGAAGGGTGTGGTAGGGTCTCCTGCTTTAACAGCAGCTGGGGTGAGTTGGATCCTGAAGCCAGAACCCCCCAAGGAGGACAAGAAAGCAGAAGGGGCTTGGAAAGTAGGGGTGGGGCTTGGGACAAGCAGCCACCTTATCCTCCCACGCACCCCTGCCAAAGCCTCCTTCCAGACTCCCCCCACTGTGTTTATCTGCAGGATTTAAATCAAGCAATGATATGTATAAT